CAGAAGAGTTGTTTTGCATATTGAAACCACTGAATTTATACCAGATGATACAGAATTGACTTTATTTTTATTTGGGTACAATATATAATCAGGAATAGGCATCATCCCAAATACATAATACACATATTATCCCATATGGACCTGCCATGTTCTCTAGTATAAGATAATGCAGAAATAGATCAATTATTGATTGAAAATGAGCTAAAGGCCCCAGAATTTCTAACGTAATCACTGGTGTGCTGAGATCATAGGTGTACACCACCAAACCAGCTAAGAAAAGTTTTCATATTAAAAAAAAATCACAAGGAAAATACTCTCAAGAGTAAACAGGAAGTTTGTAAGATTTTAAAGATTTAAAGACATTTTCAGTAATGAAAGATTTTTGTTGATGTTACTGCTGTTTTTCTCTATGTTTCAAACCTGACAGTCCTGGAACTCATTCAGTAGAACTTGCCACCATGCCCGGTGGGAAAGTTTTCTTTTTAATTAAATTTATTATTTACAACCTGACTGCAGTTTTCCCTCCCTCATTTCCTCCCATTCCCTCTCCCCATCTCCCATGAAAGATTTTTTTTTTTGCTTTAGAATGCTAAGTTACATAATTTTTTAATAAATTAAAAAACATATTCTGTATTAGACTGGGAAAACAAGTTATCCCCAAATACTACTATATGTTTCCATCACATATATAATACATAAAATGTATATATATATAACCATATATATATATAACCATATATATTTCTTGTAACCAAACTAAAAGATTCTAATTTTGATATGAATTTTATTAAAGAAATGATAGGAGCTGAGCAGTGGTGGTGCACACCTTTAATCTCAGCATTCATGAGGCAGAGTCAGGCAGATCTCTGTGTTCGGGGCCAACCTGGTCTACAGAGCAAGTTCCAGGACAGTCAAGGTTATACAGAGAAATCCTGTCTCCAAAAACAAAACAAACAAACAAGATAAGTATAAGTGCTACAAAACGATAAAACACAAGTCCATAGTACTTTTAATTTATTTTTGTGTGTGGTAATTAATTATAAATGGTTAATGGGTATATAAAAATATACCCACAGAATGGAATAGATTGAAAATAAAAACTATAAAGATTCATGTTTTAACTTACCATAGTATATTGACAGGCTGTTTAAGAAAGCATTTTTGTTTGTTTTTTTGTTTTTGTTTTTGAGCCAAGGCTAAATCTTGGCTGGCCTGGAACTCCCTTGTAGATCAGGCTGGCCTCACCAGCTCTGCCTAAGGGAGGGAATTCTTGTTGGTAGTAGTAACTAGGGTAACCTCCTCAACAGCTACAGATTGTTAAAGCACCTGGAGAGCATCCCCACTGTTAAGAACTTACCTTTGTGTAGATTTCCCCAAAAAATAAGAATTTATTTTTTTATATATTTAAAAGCTAGATGTCAAGGCCCACACTTGAAATTTCAGTATTTGTCAAATGGAGGCAGGAAGATCGGGAGTTCAAACTCAGTCTCAACTACATAGTGAGTCTGAGACTTTGGCTCAAAAAACTAACTGAAAAAAATGCATTTTATATTTGAGGATTAGAAAATTTTCATTTAAAAAGATGCTCATTAAAAATGGCTAGTTAAAAATTCTGCTGTTTCTCATGCAAACTACAGAACACCCCAAGACCTGGATGGAAACAGTGGGGGCCATGTGTATCTTTTTTCGCTCCATAGAGTATCTTCCAGAGGACCATCACAATCTGGTGACAGTGATTACATCATGATAGAAACCCGTGATATGTCAGTACAGGAAAAGAGGGAGGGGCCTCTGGGATAGCTCAGCAAGTAAAGGGGCTTGCTGCCAAGTGATGACCTGAGCACCCACATGGTGGAAGGAAAGAACTCCCTCTGCCCCCACCTGCACACTGAGGCACGAGGGTGGAAGGGAACAGAAAAACGTCAGTCTTTAAGAGAACAGGAGAGACATTTTACTGTTCGCACTAATGCACATTTTGGTGTTGTGTCACCATTTCCAATCCTTGCACAAACATTCAAGAAAACACGGGGTAACAATAGGAAGAGAAGGCTTTGGGCTAAGTCGGAGTGCTCTGCGATCAGGTGGAGCTCGATTTGGGATCCAGCTGTGCTGCTTGCCAGGACAACCTCCAGTAAACCCCAACTTCCTTGTTTATATTATGTGAGCCAGAAAGCATCCAGGTACCCAGCTGGCACGAGAGTTAAACGAGGTTTAAAATATCTCAGCCCAGTGGCAGGCAGATGGGAGGCTCACAGAGAGAGTGGTCACCATCAGCATCTTGTTCTAAGCTGGAACTTCTTGGACATTCCCCACTCACACCCCTTTTCCACCAGGGAAGCTCTGACCTTTGTGTATTAGGTATACAAAACAGTAGATGCTTTAAACATTTCCCAGTGATAAATCAGAAAGAAAATAATTTGAAAACATTTTTTGCACAATGTATGAAATTTATACAATATGTGAAACAACCACTTTTGCACACTAACAAGACGGCTGTGCTTGCCATTTTTAGATGAAGACTGAAATATGGGTCGAGTATTTGATACTGTAGAAGGAGAGCATCTGGGGTGATTCTCAGAGTTAGCTGATGCTTTGATTTTATAGTTGTCAACGCTGAGGATGCCACTTTGCATAAATGGACAGTTTAAAAAGAGCAGCAAGATGTTTAGTGCCATTTCAGAAGTTATTGAAAAATCCTGTTCTAATCCCAAACCAAACTGCTTTAAATCTCTTCTTTTCTTCCTTCAGTTTTTTTTTTCCAAGACAGGGTTTCTCTGTGTGACAGGCCCTGCTTTAAATTTTTCAGTGGCACTCAAGTCAGTGGCTTAAATAGCAATTTTTAAAACCAAACATCCTTTCTAATATAATACAGCTTAAAGATGCATTAAATTTAGACTTGCAGGCTGAAGAGGACAGAAGGAAAAACCTGAACACTCTTTGTTTTCCAAAATTGAGTCATTGTTTCTCTAAGAGAAGAGAACCTTGTGTGCACAGGAAGAACCTTGCAATCCATAGGGTACAGCAGTCTTGAATCTCAGCTGCGGTGTGTTGGGTCATGTTCTTTGCTGTTGTATAGTGTGACAGCATGCTCATGACAACATGCTGTGTTCAGAACAAGGCTGCAGTGATGCCGCAGGATGCAGCACACATAAGCACTTTGTGAAATGCCTCAGTTTCTCTGCATGTTTGATTTTGATTGCACTTTTGGTCCTTGTGTACTCAGAAGCCTTTAATTGTTGCCAAATCATACTCAGTCCCCTTTCTCATAATTCGCTTTATATTGCTGTGGTAAAAACACTGTGACCAAAAGCATTTGAAGGGGAAAGGGTTTCTTTATATTTATATATATTACATATCCCAGCTTCCACTGAGGGAAGCTAAGGCAGGAACTGAAGCCATGAAGGAACATTGCTCACTGGCATGCTCTCCCTGGCTTGCCAGGTTTACTTTCTTATACACCTAGGACCACCCACCCAGGGGTGGTGCCACCACAGTGGGCTGGGCACTTCCCATCAATCACTCATCAGAAAAGTGCCCCGTGAACTAGGTGACATATAAACAGAGACTACTCGTTTGTTCCTCACTACCCAGACCCGAATAACACACAGAAACTATATTAATTGCAGGTTGCTTGACTAATGTCTCAGGCATATTTCTAGCTAGCTCTTACATCTTAAATTAACCCATTACTATTAATCTATATTTTGTCACAAGGCTGTGGTTTACTGGAAAGGCTCTGGCTGCATCTTTCTTCTTCGGCAGCTACATGAAGTCTCCTTGACTTTGCCTACTCTTTCTATATATCTCTATTCAGAGTTCCTGCCTAGCTTTACTCTGTTAAGCCATTGGCCCAAATAGCTTTATTTATTAACCAATAAGAGCAAAACATACACAGAAAGACATCCCACATCATAACCCCATTTCTGTCTAATTAAAAAGGAAGGTTTTTAACTTTAACATAATGAAGTTATATATACAAAACAGTTATCAAGCAAGAATATAGTTACAATATTTAGTCTATTTGTGTCTGGCAAAATTAAAGAAAATATTCTGTCATCTATTTTATCTTTGCAAATCTAAAGTTTTATATCTAATTTATCTTTTATCATAAATAAGAAACACTATAACTATAATTATCTGCCTTCAACTCCATCAAAGATCCCAGAAGGATATACTAATACCTAAGTAAACAGGAAGTACATTGGAGGCAACTTCCAAAACTTTAGAATTGACAGGAACAGTGACAGACCAATTTGATAAGAGTATTTTTTCTCAGTTGAGATTTTTCTCTTCTCAAATGACTCTAGCTTGTGTCAAGTTAACTGAAGACTAACCAGGATACCCATATTTATGACTCTCCATAGGATCAAGACCCACAGTTTAAGAAGCTGGAATCTGCCAGACTGTGGTGACACACCTTTAATCCCAGTACTTGGAAGACAGAGGCAGGTAGCTCTCAGGGTTCAGGGATAGCCTGGTCTACAGAGTGAGTTCAATGACAGTCAAGAATAAACAAAGAGACAGTTTTGAGGGGCAAAAAGAAGCTGGGATCTAAACCTAAGCTTCACAAAAATCTTAGCAGGCCAGGAGGAAAGCCTGTCTTCATTGCCCCATCTTACAGTGAGGAAAATGGGATTTATACCAATCCGAGGCTCAGGATTTCATTTTCTTTCTCTTGCAGCTGAATCCAGAAAGAAAAAAATAATAAACATAAAAAAGTAATTCTTTCATCTTGACGCAGAAGCCCCAGTAAAGCCCATGTGTGGACAATGTGAACGCAAGGCTCAGGTTTTCAGTGACTATTACTGAACACTGTCACTCTTACCACAGAAAGCGTCCTGTCAATAGAGAAGTGTGTGGAGCCGCTATAACCTGAGACAGTGTTCAGGGAAGCAGGGGCTTCCCCCTCCCAGGTGTACTTACTGGTAAACAGGAGGGTTTGACTTGCTGTGAGCTAATGTGTGGCAAGGTACCATCGCGTTCTCCATCCTTGGTTTCAGGGCACTGCAGTACTTCCGCTGCTGTCTTCCATCTTACTGGATCATAAGGAGTATCCCAACCCAGAGACATTTGACCCAGGACACTTTCTGGATTACGATGGCTGCTTCAAGAAAACAGACTGCTTTGTTCCTTTCTCCCTTGGTAAGTACAGACGTTTCAGGCAATGTTTAGCTTCACTGAATTATATCGTGAGTAAGAGACCCACTGATGCAAAGTCAGTGAACCAAACTGTCAAAATTGTCCGAGTCTAGAGGGACATTTAAGTCTGTACACCAATCCCATGAGGTAAGTCTTCCAGGAATGATTTTGTGGATTGCTAAGGCAAATTTTTAAAGAAAACAAACATTCCTCAAATTCAGATGTTATCTATTGCTTGTGATAAAGTAACTCACTGCTGAAATTTTACCTATTGATTTCCTTTTGTAATATTAACTTTTCCAAAACACGGCACAGATGTCTTCAGTTTTAACTGTCAACTATTACTAATCTTCTGATTCCCAGAGCCAGAGTCTGTCAAAGAGCCTCAGCCACTTCATCTTCTGTCTTCAGAATTTGGTCTCCAGTTGTATGTACTGTTGAGTCATAAAAATGACTTGGCAGCATTGTCAGTGTGCCTTCTTTCTTACTCTTAGTCTGTGCATTTGTTTGATTAGTATTTTAAAAATAAACAGTTTAAGGAGCTTGGGATTGTAATGACAAACCAGTTGTCTACAGTATGTAAGGCCCAAAGTTTGATTTCTAGGCCTGCAAAAATCAATCAATCAATAAACCAGTAAGTTTAAGATGCATTGTTTCTAAATACAATGCTAATAAGTGGTCAACATAAAAATTCAGGAAACCAGAGTAAGAGAGGCAAGTAAAGCCGGTGGTGGTGGTGTATGCCTTTAATCCTAGCACTCGGGAGGCAGAGGCAGGTGGATTTCTGTGAGTTTGAGGTCAGCCTGGTCTACAAGAGCTAGTTCCAGATCAGGCTCCAAAGTTACAGAGGAAACCTGTCTCAAAAAAACAAAAAATAGATAAATAAGGGAGAGAGAGAGAGAGAGAGCGGTAAAAACAACCTGTAGTTTCCCATCACAGGCTCTTCAAACAGTATCATAGTAGATGTAACATGTAGTTTTTTTATACTAAATTTGGTTTATTCTGTCCAATCAGTCTGCTTTCACATAGTATACGATGATAAAATATACTAAATAATCTGTCATAAAATGCTTTCTGGTTGCATTGTATAATAGATCCACAAAGATTTGCTTAACCACCCCTTTGTAAAGCCAGGCCGAGGTGTCCTTCAGTCTCTGATGACATAAGTGCTGGCCTCGAAGCCTCGCCAGTTCCGGCAGGTGACTCAAGCCTCGCCAGTTCCGGCAGGTGACTCCTTGCAAGTGTTACTGCACTGAAGATGAATACTTCTTCAGGGTGTTTTCAAATTTCTACTGCTTTAAGATTTTATGTGTATGTGTGTATATGTGCATGTAGGGACCTGAGGAGGTCAGAAGAGGTCATCAGATCTCCTGTGGTGAAGTTAGAGCTGTCTGTGAGCCACCATGTAGCTGCTGGGAACCTGGGTCCACTACAAGGGCAGCAAGTGATCTTAACCACTGCTGAGCCATCTCCCCAGCCCCTTGAGTGCTTTGACAACTTCTAGTTTACTGTCCTCCAAAGCATTCCATTGCATTTTCAATGGCTTTCAGGTCTCATTTGAACACGAAGAAAACTAATGTGGTATTTTCTTCTTCCAAGGATGTGGTCCTGCATTGGTGAGAGTTTGGCTCATATGGAGCTGTTACTGTTCTTCACCACCATTCTGCAAAAGTTTTCCCTAAAGTCTCGGGTGGAGCCAAGAGACCTAGATAGCAACCCCATTGCTACTGGGCTTATCAGTCTTCCCCCACCTTAAAAATTGTGTCTCATTTCTAGATAAGAGTTTATTCTTTTAGTCATTCAAATCGAAGTGATTGGTTCCTTTTTCTATAATCTCTTTATTCTTAGCACTGGCTAGTCTAGCAACATTATTCATTAAAACCACATGGACATTTTTGTCTGTATTCCTCACCTCCTCTATAAACCAGACCCCAAAACTGACAGCAGGTCCCAGAAGGCCTTCATCAGACGCTATCAGCAAGTAGCAGAGCTTCTTCTTATATGGCTTGGAAATAAACTTATTTTCTGTCACTTTTACAACAGAGAAATTAATGTATGGCCTACATACTTTTTCCCGTTCTCAGGTCAAAGTATTTATATGGTTTGTATCACATTCACAAAACAAATTTTTATCCCAACAATAGAGTTTCTTTGTAAGTTTGACTTTATCTTGTCGTAAAAACAAAAACAAAGCAAAACAAAGAACTCTCTTTGACCCATAGATAATCCACTAGAAGGATGAGATAAATAGGTAATCTGTCACAATGCTCTCCCTACTCCCCCTCCCATCTGTTTGCAGTCATTGGTTTGCATGTGGCCCAGAGAGCATCCTTAAGAAGTTAAACCACATCCAGTGTTAGGACTCAGACGTTCATGACTGGGCCCTTTTGACAGTCACAGGACTGGAATTAGGGGCAAAGAGCAAGAGGGCCAGTTGCAGAAAGACTACACCTTGCCAAGAGGACAGTGGGTACACAGGAGAACAGCAATGACAGCTGCTCTAGAAATGGCAGAGTTCAGTGAGCAGCAGCTGCCACCAATTGGGTCAAAAACCAACAACCAGACCTGCCTGATCTGGGGACACTGGAAATGAGAAAGAGTGTGAAAATAAAGCTGAGACAGGAGAATGGAAAGACAAGCTGCAGAAAATGTTCTCAAAGGATGTGTCTCATGAAGAATGATTACCCCAAATACTCTGAAAACTCAATTTGAGGTTGAAACAGTTAAAAACAGGGCATAAGAGCTGAAGAGACACCTCACTTCTGGAGACACACAACTGACAAATAAGCCAGTGAGAAGTTGCGCAGCATTGTACCTCAGTCAAAGAGATGCAAATAAAGAAGAGATGCGTTCACAGCCTTCAGAAACGTTGAAGCTGAACACAGCCTTCATCTCTCACTGAGATGCGAAGCTGGAGCAGTGACCCTGTTGACTGGAATGCAAAACCATACAGCCACCTTATAAGACAGCTTAGCTGTTTCTTACAAAGCTAAGCATATGCTCAGTGTATGACCCAGCACTTATGAAAAGTAGTTAGGCAATAGACAAACTAGGCTAGTGATAACCAGGCAGGAAGAGGGGAATGGAGCAAGTCTTTATTGAAAATAGAGTTTCAGAGGAAGGTAAAAATGCTCCAACTAGATGTGGTGAGGGATGGTTACACAATGATGCAAATGTATACAGTGTCATTGGGAAATGTCACTTTCCATGTGGTGAAGACAGAAAATGCTATGTCATGTGTAACTTACATGTATGAAAATGTATATGTAGCTGGAAGTTTCGCTCCTGCCCACCAGTTCTCAACCGCTCTGAGGCTTAATATTAATTACAAACTGTTTGGCCTATTAGCTCAGGCTTATTATTAACTAGCTCTTACAACTTAAATTAACCCATTTCTATTATTCTATATTTTACCACAAGGATCATGACTTGTTACCTTACATCTTGCTTCCCCAGTGACTGCTGGCATCTCTCTATTCTACCTTCTTTCTCCCTGTATCTCTGCTTGGATTTCCTGCCTAGCTATATTCTGCCCTGCCATAGGTCAAATCAGCTTCTTTATTAACCAACGGTAATAAATATATTCACAGCATACAGAGGGGCATCTCACATCCTGAGTAAGTGAGGTACTTTAGTTTCAATGGTGAGGATTTTGAAATGGCACACTTTGGATCTAACAATTACTGTGGCTATGTGTGCATTAGTTTTTTTGTTTTTGTTTTTTTTTTTTTTTGCTAAAATAGGATCTCATGTAGCCCAACTAGGCTTCAAACTGCAAACGATATGGGGAGTGATGACCTCCTGTCCCTACCGCCCACCAAATGCTGGGGTTTGGGATTATAGACACATGCACCACATCAGGCCACTATACTGGTTAGCATATAAATGTTCCTTACCTTCCTCCTACCCTCATAATTTTTTAAAATATGGGAATTTTGCCTCTTTTAATCAGATTCCTCTCTTCTTATTCACTTGAACATTTGAAATAAGCCCACTGAGTTTTCTGAGATCAAGTCTTTCCTTCATTCTCACATTTAACTGGATTTCAGCATCATTGTGCATAAAAAAATTTTTTTCCAGCTGGATGTGGCAGTGAACGCCTTTAATCCCAGCATTCAGGAGGCAGAGGCAGGTGGATCTCTATGAATCTAAGGCCAGCCTGTGTGGTGATATCTTGTTTAACTCTACAAATAAAGCTCTGCCCTCTGATCTTCAGGCAAGTTTTATTTGTAGATTACAAACAAAATATCACCACAAGCTTGGTCTACAGAGTGAGTTCCAGGTCAGTCAGGGATATATAGAGAGACTCTGTTTCAAAACCAAATAAACACAAAATATTTTCTTTTTCTTTTTTTGCTCTTCAACCTTTTAATCAACAGATTTAAAAATCACATATATTTTATGGTATATACATGATTTTTGATACTTTTTTTTCTAAAGCACAAAATTTGCTTCAAAACATGAGTTAGGCTACATAGATAGCTATATAGACAAATATGTATCTATAAATATAGGTATAGACAGCCAGCTGGATAAAGTGCTAGCAGTGCAGGCTTGAGGGCCTGAGTTTCGACTCAAAACTCGTGTAAAGAAGGCCGATGAGGAGATGAGATTGTACTATCTGTCCTGGGGAGGCAGATCATGTAGATCCCTCAGACTTTCTGGTCAGTCAGCCTAGTGTCAGTTGGTGAGTTTCAGGCTAGTGGGAGACCTAATCTGAGGATTTCTTGGGTGTATGGAAGGGAAGGATAGCCACACACATCGCAAAGGTAAACATCTATAAAAATCCCTGTGGCCATCCCTCCAGGCCCATACATTCTTTTCTCTTTCTCTGACTTGAACCCCTCACACCCAGTTCCCTATTTCCAAGCTGACAGCCTTTTCCTGTTCCCTATCCCCTTTCCTCCTTCCCTTCCCAGTCAGGTAGTTTGATTTCTTAGTTTCCAACTATCCTAATTACTCACGAAAAACATCACAGCTGAACGAAGAGGCCATAGCAAAGCAGTGCAAACAATGGGTTCTCTGAGTGTGAGTCCGGGATAATGATAAAGTTACTTTTATTACATAAATTTACAGTATCTCTTCACCCCAAAGAATGCCCTGTGGCACAGCTTAGCATCCCCAAGAGATCCTAAGAATGCTCTCCCACAGGCAAGTTTGGCTCCATCAACAATAGCATCTTCCATTCATTGAGCAGGCTGCTGTCATCCTATTTCACCTCTCCCTGAAAATGCTGTGAGATATAAACGGTTAAAAAAAAAAAAGCCCTGATGCTCAGAGGGTAGGAAGTTTGACCAGGTTTTTCCTGATCTTAGGCAAAAATCCCAGCTACAGACACAAAGCCTTGGGGTTTCTGCTATCTAGTCCTCTAGGATGACATCATTTCATCTGTACAGCCAAAAGGACTTTACTTCTAAGCCGTTGATGAACTTCCTGAGATCCATTCCACAACTCTTCTCAATTAAGTCAGACACTCGCCTTTCTTTTCAGGGGGCGAGGGGATCATACTACGAAGTCCAGCCTTGCCTCAAATATGCGTTCTACTTCATCAGCTTTCTGGGTGCTGGGACTAAAGATGTCACCACATCACGCTGGCATTAGTTCTTTGGTTTTCGTGGACTGAATAGCAATAAGACCTGAACCAGGCCCTATTGTGTACTGATATTTTGTTTGTATTTTAATAAATAAATCTTTCTTGACAATCAGAAAATAAAAAAGCCACACTGATCAGCCATACAGACCAGGCAGAGTGGCACACACCTTTAATCCCAGGAACCACACTAGTTTGCCATAGAAACCGGGAAGTAGTGGTACACACCTTTAATTCCAGCACTAGAGAGGAATATAAGAAAGGATGGGACAGCCTTCAGGCTTGGTCTCATTCTGAGGATTCCTGGAGGCAGGATCACCATTTTTGGACTGAAGTAGAGGTTTGAGTCAGTGACTGGCTACTTTGTTTTTCTGGTCTTCGGGTTGAACCCCAATATCTATCTCTGGGTTTTTATTAATCGTGTTGCACTATTGTGTTTGGCTGAATGGAAGTGGCATGTCCCCTCCAGCTCTCCTTTAGAGATGTCTCACCCTGCAGGATGCTGTTCCTGAACCCTCAGTTTTCTTGGAATCCAAATACTCTGAATCTAAGCCTGTGAACCAAGTTCAACATAGATTGTAGGGGATGTCCAGCCCTATGGGTCAGGACCCTTCAGGAAATTGCTTTTAGGTTATATAAATGATCCATGTAGCTTTATAAGCCGCCCCTCAACCGTAGAGACTACTAGACAATTTTGGTTTCTACTTTACATTTTCATATTAACATACTATATTTCAGGGCTGGAGAGATGGCTCAGAGCCTAAGAACACTGACTGCTCTTCCAGAGGTCCTGAATTCAATTCCCAGCAACCACACGGCGGCTCACAACCATCTGTAATGAGATCTGTGCCCTCTTCTAGCATGCAGGCAGGACAGAGAATACAAAATAAGTAAATAGAATACTGTATTTATGTTTCAGCGCCATTAAAATGTCAAAAACAACAACAACAAAAAATCCCCCAGCATCTTAGAATCAATGAGACCCATTTACCTGCCCTAGTCAATAGGACGACTCAAAGCCCCGCTTGCAACAGCCCCTCTCTCAAAGGACCAGATCGGTTAGAGCCATGGTCCTAGTTTCCAATTAACCTTCCGCCTGATGCCCGGATAGCCTCACTGAGGTCTAATCAGTAACATACATCACATTCATCTCTCCAAAGTCGAAAGAAGCCCTTTACTCCTGACCAGAGGATTACTGCAGGGCAGACTGTGTACAGATTAGGCAAGCCCAGTACACAGAACGGATCCAGAGTCCACACTACACAAGCGTTCCATTGGCCAGACAGCAGTCTGAGGCAACGTGTCACCAAACCAATGGTCACGATCTTGGAAGTAGGGTGAGGGGAGGCAGCTGCAAGAGCCTTGGAGCCTAAAATTTCCACACCATCATTTTCCTGCTCTCGAGTCAACAAAACGTGAAAGCAGAGATGAGCTAATAGCTTTGGACTGCTTTACAACATGAATTCTTGTAACACGCTGGTGGAGGCTGGGAACTAGGGGTCCAGAAACAAAGTCCTTAGCACCGTATATTGTAATGGAAGGAGACAAACAAGCCAGCAATAACAGCAGAAGCTGGGATCTCTGACATATGCAGAGTTCTGTGGAAATGCCAGGGAGGGACACTGAAATCAGACCTGGAAAGAGATAGGGCATGGTCTCAGAAAATAATACTAAATGTATTATTGTTATTTTTTAACACAAATAGGTGTGATTCGATTCCCAAGCAGAGAGAGAGGAAGGAGTTATCCTAACACCTAAAAGGATCTTAAAGGCTTGACAATGTTGGATATTGCAGGGGAGTCGGGCAATCTGGTGGTAGAAAGGCAAAACGGTATAGTTCCAGTCCTGAAAGGCCTCTGCCAGGCAAAAAAACTCTGGACTTGGGACAGAGAAGAGGCAAGGGTCTGAATTGTGGAAAGCGATACAGGGAGCACGGTATAGTAGGTGGCGGTGGAACCCTGGGCACAAGGTAGGTGTGAGGCTGTCGACATGACCTAGGCAAGGCTGAATCAGATCAGTGCCCTTGAGGGGGGAAGGCAAGGGACACCTGTGAATACTTCCAGTCAGAATACACAGTGGATTTGGGGGTTGGAATGGCTCCAGGGTTTTTGACTGGGCAACAGGTGGTGCCATTTCCCCAGAGGAGCACCTAGAGAGGGAAAGGTGGCACCTTCATATTCGAACAGGTCCCAGCTGAGGTCCCTGAAGAACGAGTCAAAGAGAAAACATCTCAGCCCCCACATGAAGAAGCAGAACTGACGTATACACCACATTCCACAGTTTATACAAGCTGTTGAAACAGTGGCCTGACTGACACAGGTGGTGTGGGGGTGGAGTGCTGGGAACTGTCATCTGGAGACAAGCAGTTTAGAGAGAACTTTCAAAACTGCATCATGGAGGCTAGGCTGGATGCAAAAAAAAAGAACAAAAATCAGAACAAAAAAAATCAGGAATGTCACACATTGAGATTAGCAACAAGCATTTCAAAGAAAAGATGTACAAGAATACTTTAGAGAATTTAGAGAATAATACACATATATATATTACCTTTAACACATATATAATATATATTACATATACATATATATGTATATATTTTTAAATTCTTGTCATATATATATATATATATACATACATCTATGAATCACCTACAATTCTTGAAACCAATTGAAAACAAAATAGAACCACAAAGGAAAGAGAAGCTTCTGCCTTCTATAAAATTAAAAAAAACCCTTGTTAAACAAAATCAAGAAAAGGACTGCCAAATG